CACGGGCCCAGACCCAGTCCACGCTCCTATTTTGCCCGGCCTGGACCGGCCCGGATGGACATGCCTGGTTAAAAGTCGTTGGCGTTCCAATCACTCATCTATTCTATTTTTAAATAATTTTTTTATTGAATCATTAGTATCTTTGTGCCATGTTACTAGAATGACTAATATACGTGTAAACTATATATAATATATATGTTGTATTGTGCATGACCTAACTTAGTTTATAGTCATTTAAACATTTTTAAAATTTTGCTCCTAATAGATGGAAGCTCCATAATGTTTATTTTTATTTTTTTTGACCTAAGATGGAATACACGATGGCTTTGCACTAGCTCTCCAGATATAAGATAATTTAAACTTCACATTTTCTAGTACACTATGGGTTTGCTTGATAGCAACTTCACACTGAGCTAGATTAAATTAATGATAAGTGTTATTCAAATAAGAGTTTTTTTCGACTTTAATAGTTTGAAATTTGTCCCTCAAATTATTGAAACTTCTATTGTGCCTTTCATTTCTGACGTTATTTTGAGATTAATCCCTCAAATCATTGAAATGGTTATCAGGAGTTCCAATTCTTAGGGAGTACTGTTAGTCAATTGAGATATTTCGTGCAAAGTAGGATAATCATTAAAATGAAATGATGTTTTGCTAGTGAGATATTTTAGTGGGATAAATAGGAACAATTTTGTGAAGCGATATATTTTGATAAAATAAAATGGGATAAATTTTTATAATCATGAAGTATATATTTATGTATTTTGAGGACATAAATACTATTAATGTTTTTTAAAGTGGGACAAATACTATTTATGTATTTGAGTGATAATTATTTACGAGAATGTTATTTACTACTAAATAACTTTTAATTAGACTATAAGATATTAACAATTATTATTAAAATATATGTTGTAGTTTTTTAATTATTATTATAGTACAAGCCCAAAAAAGGTTTTTTCACATTTTCTTTCCTTTTTTCTCCCCAATATGTCTTTCCCTCATCTCCCAATTTTATTATTTAGTAAATTATGAATTGATCCAGTCTTTACTTTTAAATTAATTATATAATTATAATATTTGGTAAAAAAAAATATCAGAGATGACTAAGAGGAGACGAAATATGCTCTGATGGCATGGTCTAATGATGATAATGACCATAGTAGGGAAGAAGTAAAAAAAAAGAAATATAAAACATATAAAATAATAAAATAAATAAGAGTTCTAGTTTTTTATCACCTAGTTCCAAGTTTAAACTTAGGATAATTTGAGAGACTAGAACTTTAACTTTTATATAGAAAAATGAAAAAAATAGGATAATTTTGTACAATTATCCCAGTTCTAATTTTGTTCTAGTTGAGTAAAACTGTAAAATTTTATTCTATTTTTAGTTCTAGTTGACTAACATTATAAAATTTTATCTAATAAATTAGAAGTAGCAATTAGAAGAAAACTAGTGCCTCAAATCATTAAATTTCTATTTAGGTTTTTCAATTCTCAAGAATTGTTTCAAATTAACCTCTTACTAATTCTACTATCGATTTGAGAGACTAATTTCAAAATAACTCAAAGATTTGCGGATCTAATAATAATTCCCATGAATTGAAGGACAATACTAATTTCACAAATAGCTTAAGAATCAAAGGACCTATTATCAATTTTGTTGATTTTGAGGGGCAAATCCAAGAGTTAAGGGACTGATATCGAGAAAACACTTTAATAATCACACACCACAAAACATATTAGGGTAATTGCATATTAGTCCCTTAAATCATCTGATTGCCGAGAAGTACCTCAAATCTCAGTATTTGCTTATTAGTCCTTTAAATCTTCAATTTTATTGCAAATCAGTCCCTCGTGTTAGGTGATGTTAATTACTATGTTGAAATTACATTAAGTGAAGCGGAGAATGCTTAGAATGTCCATTATATCCCCACCCCATTTAAGAGTAGGATTCAAAATTCCTCCAACCCATTTGATAACGAGTTTAAACCCACTAACCACAAACCCAAACTAACAAGACCTTCTTCCTATACTGTTAGAATTTCCCCAAACCCATTTTGAGCTATTTTAACAGTTAAATTCTTCTCTCAAGCCTATATAATCCTTTAAATTCCTCATTATGCTTAGTTCCTCTTCACCTCCTCTTATAATATCTGAGACTCAAAAGTAATATTTTAAGGGTCTTGAACTATGTTGCAAACCCTAACCCTAACCCTTAAAAATTTCCCCAAATGCTCGGGGGTAGTTTAGTAATTTTTCATGCTTGATTAAGGTTAATTAAGGCTAAATCCAACCACAATTAACAATGTTGACAAAAAACTTAACAAAAGGATGAAATTGCATGGAAATTGAAGATTTGAGGGACTAATGGCAAATATTGAGATATGCGGAAATTTTTGGCAATTAAAGATAAAGGACTAATATGCAATTACCCAACATATTATTTTAGGATGCATTTATCTTAATTAGTTAAACAATCTTCCACCATTTGGGGGAAATATATTTAAATATTCCACTCACAGTATAAGGCATGTGGGGCTCGATTTTGATGACTCAGAAACTTATCTCTCCGAGGAAGTTGCATTTATTTTAAATAGACTCTTTACTGAGTTGTTTGGGTGTGTTTGTTAATCAATGTGTTTTTTTGTTGTGTTTTTGTAAAAAACATCAGGTCATGGTGTTTTTTTTAAATGTGTTTTGAAAATACTATTTTTGTCAAACTAGTTTGACCATTTATATAGCGGCAAAGGGCGAGGCGGACGGGGCAAAGGCGGCGAGCGGTGGCGAGTGGTCGACAAACTGGCCGACGGGCAGGCGGCGGCAGGCCGGCGGGTGAGGCGACTGGCCGGGGCGGCGGGACGGCGGCGGCTGCGGGTGGCCGGTGGTTGGCCCGATGGGCTGACGGCGGAGGGCCGACAGGTGGTCGGGCGGGCGGCGGCCCGACGGCGACGGCGGTGGTGGCGGCGGCGAGAGGAGGGTGGCCGGTGGTCGCCGACGGGCGGGCGACGACGGGTTCGGCGGATGGTCGACGAGTGACGAGTGGCCGGCAGGCAGCGATGGCAGGTCGACAGGCGATGGCGGCAGGGGGTGACCATCGCCGACGGGCGGGCGACGGCGGGCCGGGCTGGCGACCGACGGGCGGCGACGGTGGCGGTGCGGGGCGGCGGGTGAAGGGTGGCTAGCGGGGGCTGACGGGCGGGCGGCGGCTGGCCGGGAGCTGGCGACGGGCGGGGCGGCGACGGCGGGGGGCGGCGCGACGGACGGCCGGACAACGGGCGGGCAGGCGGCCCGCGGGGCGGCGGCAGCAGAGGCGGTGGGGCCGCCAGCGCGCGAGGTGGCGGCGGACCGAAGCGGCAGGCGAGCGGCCTGGGCAGGCGGCTTAGATGAAAAAACAGAATCTTAAAACACCTTTTTGATGTTTTGAGAAAAGTGTTTAATTTTTAGATTTTGTAAAGTGACAAGTCAAAAAAACGTCCCGGTTGCCAAACGCTTTTCTTTGTTTTTGTTGGAAAAAAAACAGAAACGACAAAAACGCCACGGTTGCCAAATGCTCCCAGTTATCGAATTTTAATTTTTTTAATTATCGAATTTAAAGATTAGTTATGGAGCATGTATCATCTTGGCTGTATCTGCTAAGAAAATGTGAGTATTCAATCCTTGCCAAGTTAAATACAGAGAAATATCATCTATTAACTCGTTATAATGTCAAAATCATAAGATATAAGAGAGAAAGGTCATACCAATGTCATTGTTAAAAAGTAAAACATTAATTGTTTCACAGAGCTTCCACTTCAAAAAACACGAGGCTTATCATATTCTCCGGTTTTCTCGTATTAGACCCGAAATCTTGATTTGTTGTATATTAGACCCCCAAATTTGCATATTCCTATAAGAATTTCAGCTACTAATTCTTTTTGGACGGTAGAATATCCGAGTGTCTGTTGTGCTATTTAACTATTTTACCTCTTATTTTTATTTAGGACAAATTTTGAAAACCATCCGATTTACAAAAAAAATTCACAAAAAACGAACATCTTCTAAAAATAATTGTCAAAACCGACTTAGTTTTAGCCGTCGGGCTGAAACTGGGTCGGTTTTGACGAAAAAAACTATAAAACTTTACGGGACTTGAAATCCCGTGAAGTTTAGCACCGCCTAATGTTAATAGATTAACGTGATTAATAGGCTGCTAAACTTCACGGAGCTTGATGTCCCATGAAGTTTTAAAGTTTTTTCGTCAAAACCGACCCAGTTTTAGCTCGACGGCTAAAATTAGGTCGGTTTTGACAATTATTTTTAGAAGATGTATTTTTTCACGATTTTTTTTGTAAATCGGATGGTTTTCAAAATTTCTCCTTTTATTTATACTTCTCACGCTGTCTTATCCTCTCCGTTCCAAATCCCGCCATCAAATTACCATCTGTCGTGCTAAAATGCTCCATTATGTATCCTTGATCTCTTATCTTTGTCAACTTTCGAAACATACAATTAAAAAATAAGTAATGTATAAATTGCACGGTAAGCCGCATACGTAACAAGATGTCTCTTTCCAGATTGGTCCCCTCAAATATTGAATATTTTGATATTAGACGCCCAGATCCTTGATACTTGATACTTCAGCCCTCATTTTCTCCAATGATTATCTTCACAACCAAACACACTTCTTGCAAGACTAGTTTTAATTGGGTTCCCAATTTATTTGGAAGTTAGTTATTTCTTCCTTCGCTCCCGCTTGCTAGCCATTCAGACATCCAAAATCCTATTTTTAAAAGAAAACCCCCAACAAACGGGGGAAAAAAAAAGAATAGAAGAAAAACCTGCAAACAATTAAAATCCCCGCAACGTTCGGGCTGCAGAAATCTCGATGCCGCTTGTCTCCCTGTGTATAAATTAAATCAAACCCCCCATCGTCCTCGCTCAATGCCCTTTCTTTTCTCTCTCGATTCCTGATGCGATGGCTTCGCGCGCGCTCTCGCCGTCGTTTC